GAAAATGAAAAACGGCATTAAAATTATAATACTCAAGTCATGTTTGACATTTGCAATTACAAGAGATATAGCATACAATATACAAGATAACAAATGTTATCAGTACATATTGAGTCCCATAATTTTAATAGTTTTTTTCCTTTTCTTAAAATGTGTACACATTTTTTTTTGCACCCTCTGTATAATCCATGTAAAGCATCTGGCACAGTACCTGGCACATAGTAAATAACCTAAAAGTGTCCATATACCAACTGATGGTTATTAACAACCATGCTATTTTCTCTAGGCTTTATCTGCATTACACAAATAGCTGCCAGCAGTTTAAATGGAAGTTTATCTATCTATAAAGTACCTCTGTCAATGCTCTCCCTGATTACCCTAAGAAATCAAAAGTTAACCTGAGCACAAGTGAACTCCCATCTACACACACAATTAGCCAGATGTGGTGGCACACATCTGTAGTCCAAGCTACTCAGGAGGCTGAGGCAGGAGGATCACTTGAGCCCAGGAACTGGAGGTTGCAGTGAGCTATAATGATACCACTGTATTCTAGCCAGGGTGAGAGAGTAAGACTTAATCTCAAAAACAAAACAAAAACAAAACTGGGCGGTGCCTGTGGCTCAAAGGAGTAAGGCGCCGGCCTCATATCCCGGAGGTGGGGGATTCAAACCCAGGACCAGCCAAAAACCACACACACACGCACACGCGTGCATACACACAAAAACCCAGAAAAGAAACAACAGCAACAAAAAGATGTAATGCTCTATTACATCTCTCAGTAACACTCTATTTCAGTCAGCTACCTGATCCATTAAGTCTCTTCCAGAGCCTAAGAATATTTCTGAATTTTACTTCTCTAATGCTCAAGGCCTTTGAATACTGTACTTCTAGATCATCTTTAACTATGATGGCTAGCTACACTAACAGATCACATAAAATTTTAGACACAAATAGATCATACTACACCATTTTCTTAGTGAATTATACCATTATAAATATTTCTCACAAAATATCGCTTCAATAACATTAAACAATTTTGGTAGAGATATTAGAAGTCATCTTACCACATTGCCTGCACAGATACAGGTTTGAATATGTGAACTCTGTTATCTGTTGACACGCTGAACCCACTAAAGACAAAAGACAAAATCCACAAATGAGGAGAGGTTATTTCAGTTGTAAGTTTTCAAGGATGTTCCTAGGCTAGCAATAGCTGGCTCAATAGATGGAATCATCAGGTACTTCATGCAGAAGTTAACTGAAAAACTTCAATAAATTGTCTGATTTTATGTACCAGGCAAAATGAATGGATTGCCACACTAGAGTTAGGGCATTAAATCTGTTTCCTAGCTGCAGCTATGGACAAGCTGTTCTTCTGTCTATTTCTATTTGGAAGTCTTGTGGGTTCTTAGAAAATCTGACCCTGGTTTTATAAACTGGAACAAACATCTTGTCCCGTGGGGATACATTCTAAAAACACCAGGAGATGGGGGTGGGGATGTCACTGGAAGGAACTGGCACAGGAAAGTAGTTATACTATAGGCTGACAGCTGGCAGTGGTGGCAAGAGGTTATTTGAAACACAACGTATCACCCTTTGGGAGAGGACTGCAATAGTCCCACATGATCAGATGAAAGAGTGAGCCAACAAACTAGTTCTTCTTTGTCTGGATTCCTAACATAGCCTAGAAGAACAGAAGTGAGAGACCCTGGCAAGTTGTATTTTCACTCTACTTTATAAAACAGGAGTTTAAAAGGACTCAGTGAGCTGCTAAAATGATGGTTCAGTTGGGAACACTGGATCTCCCTTTTAGCTGAATGAATGGGCACTATAATAGAACCCCACCTCCAGCTTTCTTTAGAAGAATAAAAAGGAAAAGCTCTTACCCATCACCATCCAAATGAATTAGAGTGTCACTCCAGAGAGGCAGGACTAAGCCCATGGTGCAAGTACTACTACAAGACAAAAAATAGTTCACAAATTACTCCCTGTTATTCTGGGAAGCACTCTTTTGGTTACTAACTCTTTCAACATAATAAACTCCTAAGCTCTAAATTCTGGCATAAATGTTATACTAGAGAAATTTTATATCATATTACTGTTAATCCCATGCATGTCCTCAAGAACTGTTTTAAAGAGTCAGTTTCTTATATATTTAATAAAGGAAACTTAGGAATCACTCAAGATTGCTGTCCCCTTCAAGATGACCAGGGTATGCTGGAGAGAAAGCACAGGATAATGGTCTGACATGGTCTAGTGTTGGACCATGTGGAAGTTTCTGGGACTGAAAAGGGAAATACATTGGGCCTGACACTGATGGGGACTTTGCCCCACCAGACTCCCGAGAAAGAAGAGCCTCCACATAACTATGGGAGCTTTGGTGAACTGCGTTAGCTATGCAAAGATGTATTCCCAGCACAGATGCAGGAGTGAAGTGCATTGTCAACGTTCTGAGCAGCTACGTCCAGATGGCTCACACTATAGACATGAGTACCCTGGGCTTGCTGGCCTATCACCTCCATGTGGCCTACACAAGGGATTGTCAGCTTAGCCCCACTGAGGTTCCCTTTTGTGGTAGGGATGTGGACAGAAGTGGCAGCTGGTAACACTCAGGTTCTGCTCCTCTTGGCCTAGCAGCTCTAAGTAAGGCTGTCTTCCAGATGCAGCAGGCCAAGTCCCTGACATGGCAGTTTCATGGAGAGTATCAGCGAGATGACTACAGAGCTATTCTGACCCTAGGAAATCCTGAGCTGACTGAGGAATTGGTGATCATGGTTGCTCATTTCCTGCAGAGCCTCACTCATTGGCTAGTGCCAGGAGGACTGCTAGTTTATCATGGGTAACCAGGTGAAAAGGGGGTCATCTTAACACTGGCTGGGAAATACTGGCTGTACACTGGGTAGGTACACTGAATGGGGGATCAGATAGGACCCAAAAGAGTTGCTACCACAGGGCAAATTAACCTTTGGTAACCATCTGACTGCCCCAGGCAAACATGGTGTTTTTTAGAGGTTTGGTGGATAATAAACTGTGTGTAGGAGAAGATGACACCCCCTGCCTGTTACTCTAGCCTTTGGAGTCAGATCCACCCTACTGTGGCTTCAGCATCACTGTGGGTTGAGGCTGTCACAGAGCCAGTACTCACAACAGTAGGAACCTCTGAGTTAGGTGCCATAGGACAAGAGATTAGGCTCCTCTCTAGAACCCACCTTTCTGTATGACTTCTAGGTCCCAGAAACAGAGTAGGGGATAGGACCATGTCCTCTTCAGAACTGGAGCTATCATAGGGTTTGAGGCTCCCAACTCTACTACCAGATCCACTACCATGTTTCCCCGAAAATAAGACCCTGTCTTACATTTATTTTTTCTCAAGAAGACACACTATGGCTTATATTCAGGGGATGTCTTTCTCTCCGCACCGAAATGCATGGTGTGGCTATGCAGTGTATCTGTGCCCATGATTAGGTTTTATTATTGGGGTAGGGCTGATATTTAACAAATGCATAGAAATCCTGGTAGGGCTTATTTTTTGGGTAGGTCTTATTTTCAGGGAAACATGATATCATCTTCCCCATGCTCTTGTGGCTCTGGACTAAGGCAAGAGGATTAAAAAGTATGTTTAGCTAAATTTCTCCTTTGCCCCATTTAATCCTGCATGGGATTAGTTTACCACTCTTTTTTCCATTCTAGAGCCTCCCAAGGCCAGGAAAGTAGAGTTGAAGGGCTAAATCTCTGGCCTTAGAAAGCAGAGCCCAAGCCAGGTATGGTGGCTCACATCTGTAATCCCAGCACTTTGGAGGCAGAGACAGGTGGATTGCCTGAGCTCACAGGTTCAAGACCAGCGTGAGCCAGAGTGAGACCTCATCTCTAAAAATAGCAGGGCATTGTGGCAGGTACCTGTTGTCCCAGCTACTTGAGAGGCTGAGGCAAGAGAAGCGCTTAAGCCTAGGAATTTGAGGTTGTTGTGAGCTATGACCCCACAGCACTCTACCTAGGGTGGCAACGTGAAACTCTGTCTCAAAAAAAAAAAAAAGGGGGGTGGCACCCGTGGCTCATTGGGTAGGGTGCTGGCCCCATATACTGAGGGTGGCGGGTTCAAACCCGGCCCGGCTGAACTGCAACAAAAAAATAGCTGGGTGTTGTGGTGGGGTGCCTATAGTCCCAGCTACTAGGGAGCCTAAGGCAAGAGAATCGCCTAAGCCCAGGAGCTGGAGGTTGCTGTGAGCTGTGATGCCACAGCACTCTACTGAGGGTGACAAAGTGAGACTCTGTCTCTACTAAAAAAAAAAAAAGACAGCAGAACCCATCCATTCCCAGAAGAAGCTTCTTTACCTCTTAGCTCTGAGGCTCCCTCCTTCCCCATCTTTGTGCTTCCAGAGAACAACTTTATTCCATAGTTACCCCCACTACCCCCATGGCCACATGAAGAGGCAGTTATTGCTTTAGTCTTTCATCACAACCACTGGGGTCAGTTACTATTGGACCCCATCTCTAGTCTCAGCATTTTTTTTTTCAGTTTTGGCTGCGGCTGGGGTTGAACATGCTATCCCTGGTATATGGGTCCGGCACCCTACTCCTTGAGCCACAGGCACCGCTTAGTCTCAGCATTTTCCTCTTTTCCAGTCCAGTGTGTCCAGGTGAGCTGGGGAAGGGGTGAGCCGAGGCCTCAGCTGCAGATCTCCTGCAGCATGGGCATCAAGGCAGCAATCCCTGGATGCACTGGATCTGCTACCCGTATATACTGTTAATGCTCTGGAGCTCAGCCAACACCCTAGCAGCTTCACATACAGAAACCTTTGGAGGAAGTAGTACTGATGCCAGGAAAAGAGGAGGGAAAAAGGCACCTGTGGCTCAGCACTGTGGCTCAAGTGGCTAAGGCACCAGCCACATACACCTGAGCTAGAGGATTCGAATCCAGCCCGGGCCCGCCAAACAACAATGATGGCTGCAACCAAAAAATAGCCAGGCATTGTGGCGGGTGCCTGTAGTCCCAGCTACTTGAGAGGCGGGGGCAGGAGAATCGCTTGAGCCCAGGAGTTGGAGGTTGCTGTGAGCTGTGATGCAATAGCACTCTACCCTGGGTGACAGCTTCAGTCTCAAACAAACAGCTCTGTCTCAAAAAAAAAAAGTACTTCTATGGGCAGTGCCTATGGCTCAAAGGAGTAAGGCACTGGCCCCATATGCCAGAGGTGGCAGGTTCAAACCCAGTCCTGGCCAAAAAAAAAAAAACTGCAAAAAAAAAAAAGAAAAGGCAGCTGAGAGTCTCGTCTTGAGCCCTTGATCTCCTAAATACTGCTCAGCGAAGCTAGGTATGAATATTAGAGAAAATCATGTTCTGGTATGACAAATTTATCGAAAGTTCCAAAGGACTCCCAAAGGCCTCTGTCTGACACTGTCTTCTTTCATCATGTTTAGTATTTCCTGAACTCAGAGCTCTGAGTGCCAAGTGTGAAGAAAGCCCCAGCCATAGGCAGAACTTCAACTATATGAAATCTGAGGGTTTGGTCTTCTAGAGCAGGATCTAGAAGGTGGTTATATTCTATGGGATAAAGCATCCCATTTCTGGCCAAAATGGCTCAAGGAAGAAGCCTAGAATATCATGGAGTACTGAACTGGCTTTGGCCATGAAACTGAATGACCTTAACTTTGAGGGAAATGAACAACTGAAGGAACTGGCCCAGTGAAAAAGAAAGAAAGGTGTCTGTGTCTCTATAACCCCTGTGCCCTCTCAGCCATGGAGGGGAGGGCTCCCTTGGTGACCTGCTCTCTGGCATCCCCATGGCATGAGGCATTCTTTATTCTATGGTCTCAGATCACAACCCTTTCATTGTCATAAAAGTGACATACTATTAGTTACATGGGTACTAGGGATAAGAGCGGTTGATTACCAAAATCCTTGATCATAACTAAAAAAAAAATTCAAAGCCCTGGGGCGCCTATAGCTCAGTGGGTAGGGTACCAGCCACATACACTGAGGCAGGGCGGTTTGAACCTGGTCCAGGCCTGCTAAACAACAATGACAACTGCAACCAAAAAATAGCCAGGCATTGTGGCAGGCACCTGTAGTCCCAGCTA